GAACTCCAAAGATGTTATTCTTCTGACTCGGTGGTGATTGGGAGAGTTTTCTCCCAGATGAAGGTGATGAGAAAAGAGCGCAGAGCTCAAGAGACATCAGCTGAAATCCGAAGATCTTTGGAGAAGCCAAAAAGACAAGGCCGCAGCCTGGCACAAACTTAGGGGGTCCAGTAGAGTTCTAGCCCAGCATCCCCATCTTCTCAGAATCTAAAAGAAGCAAGACAGTGAGGCGTCACTGATGTGAGGCCTTTTAAGTTCTGTCGAGGTCACACCTCTCGGGCTCAAAGAGCCAATGGTGACTTGCACTTTTGGAGGGAAAGTTTATGACTCTTTGTCTTAGAGCATAGCATTTTGCATATGTAATTCGATTGGGTGTTGATGCAAAAGCTACTAAAAATTCTTAGAACACTAATATGTTGCATAGGTATAAACATATAATATACACTCTCAATTAGATCATCCGAAGACGAATTCATAGAGACCAAACATGGTATAGGTAAGGTTACATGAATGAGTGGTTCTATCATAAGCATGCATAAAACAGTATACAATACAAAAGACAATATACAAGAATAGTAATAATATACACAAACACCTGAAGGATGTGTGTGTTCATTCAAAGAAAAGTTTTTCTATGAATTAATTAGAGAAGAGTCCATTTTTATGGACATTATGTTTTTCCTATGGGTGAAAGGTAGTGAGAGGGAGAACTCTCGACATGCCATTACTTCGTAAAGTTTATCTGGTCTGGCTGAAGTGTCCTGTTTGCCATGGTAACCAGTGGCCTGGGGTCGTTCACGGACATCCTGGCACCCAGTATGGTTATTGGGTGAGGGGTCTGTGATTATTTGTTAATCTAATGAATAATTGATTTGTTAAATCTAATAGGGACAATAAATCGATGCATCGCGATTCGTGGATCCATTCTGAGATTTTCAGAATGCATCGTGATTCTCTCTCGAATCGATTCTGAGCTTAGTTTTTAACAGCAGATGGCACTCTAGGCTAGTTTTTAACCGCACACTCAAATGCTCACGAAGAAGAGCGCTTGTGCGTTCGGCTGAGTAATGTAAGTGGTTAAATGTACTTGCACATCAGCTTTTATGCTTTTATGATGCGAGATTAATGTAAACACAACCCACTGTGATCATCCTTGTAATTCACTTCAAACTTTTCGAACTTTATGAATGATTAGTTTAGGTTCAAATGGTGCGTGTGTAAGGAACTGGAAGCAAGCAGAATACGGCTGTTTCTAAAGCACGCAGTGCCATCTGCTGTTAAAAAGCTCAGAATCAATTTAAGAGAGAATCGCGATGCCTTCGGAAAATCTCAGAATCGATGCAGAATTATTTCTCGATTCGCGATGCATCGATTTATTGTCCCAGCCCTAAAATCTAAAAAACAATTGTGTGTCTGATTGGTCCAAACGCTACACCTGCATGCCTGTGAATGTCCTAATGGAGACCAAGGCAAAAAGGAAAAGACTGGTGCATCTAGATTGTTGTGCATGTGGATTTTGAAACATTTGTGTAGGTACTTGTATGATCTAGTGCACATGTGTCAAACTCAAGGCCCTCGTGCCTATTCCGGCCCGCCACATCATTTTATGTGGCCCGCGAGAGCATATGATTGTCTTAAAATAAAAATCTATGCAGCTTTATATCGTAAATTATGAAAGTGCGTACCAATACCACAAGTTTCTGTTTTTATTTGGCATTATATTTATACGCAGAAATTGACTTTGGTGTGCATATGATACGCAATGGTTAGGATTAGGAGTGTGGGGCTTTTCCGTTGATGATGACTGCGTGGAAGGCTCAAAGGAATAAAGCGGACCTCATCTAGTGCTCGGGCACCACCGTAAAAACACTTAACGAATTAAAAAAAATCATTTAACGAATTAAAAAAAATCGATTGCAGCTTTCAGACACGACTTTCTTCTCGTTTTAATAGTTCGTTTGAGACGGTTTCTATGGAGTTATTTTAATGACAAATGTCCAGAGCGCATATTGCCTATGCGAGAGTGCATCAAATCTCTCTGCAGGGCTCGCAAAATCGCTAACCCGACGTCCCAAGGCTATTGTGTTTTCCAGTCGGGCTACCAAAATGTATAACCATGATGTCATTGAATAAATATAAGCGCTGTACGTTTCAAGTCAAAACGCGACGCGGATGTCTTTATTTGAATGTATCTGAAGGGAACCGACTGTCCTCAGAAACGTGTCGTTAGCATTTTAATTTCATTTGACCTATAATTCCTGATAAAGCAGCGTTTAGAGCTGCTTTGTGTACAGCCGTTACCGGGGAAACCGCAATATTTCAGCGCTCCTAAAGCGCCACCTCGTGGAAGAGAATGAAATACTGTGTTCATTTTACTTGTGCAGCTCTTAAAATGGGTCACAAATTGCCTTACATTTATTTTTAAAAATTCTGCAAATACCCTGTCAATAGTGAAATAAATTCCTTCCTTCATATTTGTTGATATTTGTGTATTAAAAATATTTTTGATTGACATTTAAACTCCTGTGTGATTTTCTATATATATATTTTTTAAAAGGTCTTTTTTTATTTGGGCTAGTTAAATAAATTTTTGGGCTACCAAAATCTGAAGATTACCTGCCCGAAGGGCTACCAGGGATTTTGAAATTTTGCGAGCCCTGCTCTGCTCGCAGATGGATTCCCATTCATTCACTCTCACAGAAAACGGACGCGCTCTCTATCGGTCAGACATTACATGTGTGCGCTCAAAAATCTTCTCTCCCGAGTTTAATAAACGCAACCTGGAGTGTGGGCATCCACCGCAGAAAATTGGCGCATATATGCCAACGAATGTAAATCAGTAGCCTATTTACATAGCATAACAACAGTAATAAATGTATCTGTTTCACACATGTCCCACATTGTCCCGTAAAATCACATCTACTGTCCTGCAATAGCCAGGTGGTCACCCTGGCGTAGAGTAGTAAAATAGCAATTACTAATTTAAATCAGTAAATTTTAACGAAAACAATACATTATAAAAATGAAAAGAAGCAGGTTTTTTGCGATCAGATCAACCGGTAAAGTCCTGGAAAGTCTAAGAATCCAGTAAGCGAATGCATTCAAACAGCAAATTCAAAACAGCGCTAATGCAGAGAAAACACGGCCGATTTCATCAGATATGGCGGAGATAATAGTACTCGCGTACAGATGTCAGTAAAAAAAAAATCAGCAAGCTATTTAGCTTAAAAGCACGAGTGTTTTATACTGGATGCTAGCTGAAGGTGTTTTAGTTTACGCAGTGGTGGTTTAGTAAATCTGGATCAGTCAGGTCAAGGTAGCTCGTTTAGTGGTCTTTTGGCGTCCCCCTGTGTTCCTGTTTGGTATCGCAGATTGACTTGTGCAATGCTGTAAACTACTAAATGCAATGTAGAAATGTTCATTTTCTGTGAAGCTGCTTAGCAATAGTGTATCATGAAAAGTGCTATACAAATAACGTGAATTGAATTGCAAACAATTAATGAATTTATTTATTTATTGTGGCACTATATACATTCATATGGAACGATATTCCGGACAATTTTCAAAAGGACTTGCAAATTGTATTTTCAATTGCGTTTTCCATATGTGGACGCATAAATTGTGACATAATCCAAATGCAATTGCAAATCCTGCATTACCGTTTGCATTTTCGCTTTCGCGAACGCACAGTGACTGCCAAATTTCAAATGAAAAAGCAAAGTCCATTTGCAACTGTATTTCCCATGTCTTAGGAGTTACGAGCCAGTCATATTTAAATAGCAATATTAATTACCAGTCTGCTTTTTCACTCTCGCTGCGTCGCGCATGTAACCTGCCAAAACTCAAATCCTTAAAATTAAGGTTTTAAGAATTTTAGTAGTAGCCTATTATGTACATTCTACTGAACAATAGTAGGCTAATATATTTCTGCTGCAATGTCTTCAAGTTAAACCGAGCTTTTATTTTGACGGGTTGCCGTGAATACCTCTACATTTCTGTGTGTATATGATATGAGGATAGTTTTACTGAAATGAAATGGTCAAATGCTCATGAAGTGACTCTCAGAGCAGTTCTGGAGGTGTTGTTCATGTATTTATGTCCTCATTAGTGAGACGGCAGACGTTAATATCACCGGAAGCGTCACGCGCGCTATAGGAGTGGTAAACAAAACTGCATGTCTGCGCCATTCATTAACACAGAGACACGCAGAATTCATATTTAAATAGTCGTTTTGCGGCTTAATAGTCACAAATACTAGTGGGAGTGGGAGTGTGCTCACT